TTAATAATTTGAAGGTCCTGAAAAATATGGAGTTCAAGTCATGCTGCCCCTGATTTAAAAAAGAGCCATTGAATCAATTGTTTACTTGCAACTCAAAGACTGAGATTTATTTTTCGTCAGCGATGTGTTTTGTTTACGGCGTGTTTTTTGTGAACTCTAAGGTTTTAGTTGAAAAGCAAAAGTCCGTTGAAATTTCATCCCATCAGCTATATTAATTCATGTGGTTCAGTCTTTTTAAATGTATTTTGTTGGCTTTTACCCGTCGCCAAATTAGGTTATTATTAAGTTCTGTCGTTTTCTAGTCCCTTGAGAATGAAGAGCAACTCCATTGTCAATTTTGGCCAACTCTACTTGCAACTAAGATAATTCACGATTTTTACGTGTGGTAATAAATTTGACCTTAAACATTGGATATAATATATTAAATGACCATACATCTTGTTGAAAATTACAAGGAATTAATTTCATATGTTATGTATAATATGTAAATATAGTGTGAAATGTCATATTTTTTAAAATTAATTTCACATGTTGTTCTATTTATAGCTATCTAGATCCGGTTGCCTAAATTGTTTAACTTGTTTAGGCGTGGCTAATTTCACAGACAAAAACCTAATACATAGCGACTAACCCGGTTTTTAAAATGTTGAGACCAAGTATGAAATATGCAGGGCTGACGAAAAAGAGTATTTGTGGCTACTGACAATTTATAATACACCATAATTTATGATCCTCTAAATTTGTTGGTTGATGAATTGAAAGTCTGCAAGATTTTGATTATTTTTATTATTTTGATGTACGATGATCATGTGTAACAGCATTATACCGGGAACAATCAGATGTTTTTAAAATAGCAAACGCCGATCACGCATAGTCGGTGTTATAGTCAATTTGCAGCAATTATATTTTATATTTTTTTTCTCCTTTATCTCATTTGTTTTATACATTATCATCAAAGCTATTTCACTTCCAAAGTATAAAAATTGAAAAAAAAATGTCACACACAGTTTGCTGCACTTGCATCGACAGCATGCTACATGCCATTGCCTCTCATTCTGGAAGTGGGCTCCTTCATTTAGTTAAGACTACCAATGAACTCGCTATTTATAATATTTTTTTATATAAATCAATTATCAATCATATTGAAAAAAGACGGGGATAATATTTTTTTATATAAGTCAACTATCAATCATATTGAAAGAAATGAGGGAAAATGGGTGGGTCCCACGCAAATGAAGCGAAAGCCCAAATAAAGCTCAAGCGAGGGTTCATTCCAAAATCAATTAGTAGAAGGAAGAGTAGACTTATAAAGTGAGTCTATTTTCCATATATAAACGATGTGTGACAATTTATAAGTAATATTCTAACACTAAGTTGTTTGTTTTCATTATATGTTGAGGGATCAGCCTATAACAACAAAAGCATGGAATTACGTAAATTCATAGTCTAATATTAGTTTGTTAACACACGTGACAATGTCATGTGGTTCATCAACTTCAAAATTAACACTTTCTATTCTTACAAATCATTCATTTCATCCATAATGTCAAAAAACTATACTAAATTAGCATTATCTTGGTATTACGTGATTGGTGAAAACAAACAGATTGTTCTATGAAAATCCCCAAACACACTATAAAAGGCCAACATAGAGTCTAGACAGGACTTGGGTCCCATAAGCGGGTATAAAACAAAATTCAATCGAAATAAATATTATAAATTACAAAATAATGAAGTTGTTTGCCAGCCTAACGGTGAGGTACTTTAAGTTTATCAATTTATACGCATACTTTCAGTTTAAATGTCATGCTCTAAAAATTAAAAGAAAATAATAAAAATATAGAATTTTATAACATAAATACATATTTTTACTGAGAATTTATGATGGAATGACCAACCAAAAATTAAACCGGTTTGAAAAAATTGTGATTAAAAAAAGATCCCGACTTCCATAATTGGACTAGAGGAGAATTTTCAACAAAATGCCACAAAGTAGTTAGGGATTTAATAGTGAAAAATACAAAATGGGGTGCTAGGTTGGCAGCAGACATCATTATTAGAATAAATATGAACAATCACTTGGAATTGAATTTTTTGGCTAATCAAAACCCTTTTCTATATATTATTTAAATTGACATCACATTTCCCCAAATTTCAAATTCCATTTAACTTGTCATCACCTTTTCCCCAAATTTCAAATTCCGTGCGCTGAAATCGTTAAATCGTATCACAAGCAAGCGAAATCATTAATTATATATGATAATTTTTAAGAATCATTGCAATACCCGATCAACTAGTAACATAGTGCAGATAATATTTTCTTATAAGATTGTGCATCAATAATTTGTTTATATATAAGATAAACCATGTTCAAACTTTACAATCAGTTAGACATGCTAACTGTAACTGTAACTTTATAATTTGTTTATATATGCGCCAATGCGTTATGAGTTGGTAACTGTAACTTCTTAGCGTAGGAAAACTTTACAATCAGTTAGACATGCTTAGCAATGATGGTCACTTTCACAACAAATATATATTTTTTATATTTTATATATAAGATCTTAAAGTGTACATATACAATTCTGTTATAAATGTACTAGTATGTATCCCGTGCGATGCACGGGACAAAAATATTAAGTGGGTTATTTTTACAGCCTTGTCCGTTTAAGTCTAAAAATAATAGGGTTATTATCAATTTTCTACCGCTTTTAATCAACGTTAAGTCTAAAAAATAATAGGGTTATTATAAGTTTTTTTTTCACATCTTTTACCAGCGTTGTTTTTTTAGTCAGAACATTAAATATGAGCATGTTAGGGTTAGCTTGTAAAATAATTAATATATTATCTCAATAAAATATTTATACTAATAAAAATTTAATTTTAGCATATAAATTTATCCCTTGATATAAGAGAAAGTAACAGTTTTACTTATTGTTGTTCACCATATATATTAATTATTATTTTATTATATAATAAAAAGAAATACTATTAAATAATGTAGTAGAATTGTTATAAAATTATATGAATTATTTTTTTTTACAATATGGATTTAATATCTTTTTATGATTTGATAATATAAATAAATCTATACTTACCTTTGACTTTTCCAACAAAGGTAAGAAAATCAGTTCTAATTTTTATCTCATAATCTATACTTATATTAAAAGGAGTCCTATTTACCAAATTAAGTAGCCAGAAAAGTCAACAGCATTTATTGCGTTACTATTTTCATATTATACAATCTATACTTATATAAAAAGAGATTCTATTTACTATATTTACTATCCAGAAAAGCCAACTAAATTAAATGTCATTACTATTTTGGTATTATAATATTTTATTTATTTATTTGATTTATTTACTATACAGCATTTATTGTTCTGATTTTAATTGATTGTAAAAAAAAAAAAATTCATATAATTTTATAACAATTCTACTACACTATTTAACAATATTATTTTTCTATTATATAATAAATTAATAATTAAATATTATATGGTGAACAACAATAAGTAAAACTGTTACTTTCTCTTATATTAAGGGATAAATTTATATGCTAAAATTAAATTTTTATTAGTATAAATGTTTTAGTGAGATAATATATTAATTATTTTACAAACTAGCCCTAACATGCTCATATTTAATGTTTTAAAAGATGTAGAAAAAAACTTATAATAACTCTATTGTTTTTTAGACTTAAACGTTGATTAAAAGAGGTAAAAATTCCTAATTTTTTAAACTTAAACGTTGATTAACACCATAGATTGAGAGTTTATATTTAGTAAAATTCCTAATTATAATAAAAAAATTAATTTTTGCTATATTTTAGAATATCTATAAATTCATTATAAAAAAAAGAAAAAAAAAGAAAAAAAATACAATTAAAAAAGCAAGTCAGCAATATATCGATTTGTTGTACTCCTCAAATCACATTCACAATTTGGCTACAAGGAAAGGAAACTCATTGATCAAAATATTATTTTGTCAGTAGTCTTAATGTACAAGAGACTTTAAGACTCCACTTGAATATTATAAAACTTTTATTGAACATTGTACAATTTTCTTACGTATTATAAACTTTTATTGAATATTGCATCTTATAATATAATATTCTCTAAATAAATATATTCCGTGCTTCACACGGGTCACGTACTATATATATCCCGTACATTTTTTTTTATTCATGTAAATAATTATAAGCCTGGATAAATAGCTTTAAAATTATGCACCCCGTGCATCGCACGGGCTCTGTACTAGTAAATTTTTAATGTCAAACCTATAAATACCAAAACAGATATGTAATTAATGTCATTCTTCCAGCAAGCATTAATTACATTTGATTTTCCTGCCTACTATTTTTAGTAAATAGGATGCCTTTTTATATAAGTATAGATGACGGATTAACATATTTCATGAATAAATTGTTTCACATAAAAATTTGTGAAACAAGTAATCCATTTCTCGTTCAAACGATACTTTTCATGACATGGTAAAACTTTTCATGTATTTATCTCACTACTCCCTCTATTTTGAAATATAAAGCGTATAAAGATTTCTCAATTTTTTTGAAATATAAGGCGCGCTCAAAAATTAAGACAAATTTTTGTATTTTTTTCTAAATATACCCTCATTGTGTTGAAATTAAGGAAGTGTGGAGTGGTTGTGATCAAAGTAAATAAGGTTAATTTAGTCAATTTATTCATTAATTAATGTCTCCTTAATATTTGTGCAATAACCTTAAATGCCTTATATTTCAAAATGGAGAGAGTATTAAACAAAAGTTTAACCAATGCCATTTCGAGAAAGATGGCACTCTATTGGTCCAAACCCGACCCGCTACCTAAACACTAAAAGCCCATGTTTGCAAAGAATGAAAGCCCAATAACTATTTGATGACAATTGAGCTGACTACTAATCCAAATCTAAACATTTGCTCACTGCTGTCTTGGACTTTAAACAAACAAATCAAATGCAAAAGGAGCTAACAAAAAAAAAAAGGGGGCACAAATCTTCAACATTTCAAGTTGTGTATATCAGAGGTGAAACATACAACACATTCGAAAAGTAGCCACTTAAGTTACAAACATGCCACAACTAAGAATTTTCTGCAAACTGCACGAGATGCACATAAAGGCAGAAAAACACAGATTTAACAATCAAGCACATAACAGATCAACATGTCCTCTTCAACATAAACAGAGACAAACAAAAGCCAGACAAAAGAGACTTACTTCTTAAGCACTTTCCCTTACCGCTCAAAAGACTCGGAATCATCTTCATCATCATCATCCTCCTCGGACGTTACCTCTGAACCCTCCGCCACGCCATCATCCTCATCCTCGTCAATCCTAACTGTCGGCTTGGCCGCCATCCTCTTCATGGCGGCTGTTTTGCTTGCCCTCTGAGAGCGGCTGCTGTTCACAGCAGGGACCACAGAGTTTGGGGAGACTTCCTCGTCAGATGAGGAAGATTCATGTCCGCCCCTTGCCGCCCGTCTCCTGGATCCATTCCGGCGAATAGACGGCCGTGCTGCCGGAGTTGGCGGCACTTCCTGGCGGCAGTTGTCCACGTCATCCAAGTTAATTTCTAGTTCCAGCTTTTCTGTTTACGAAAATAGATTATTATATATTTAATAATGTGTACAATCATTTGGGATGATATGAATAAATAAAAAGCAGAAAGGTAAAAGCTCATATAGTGAAAAAATGGTCTATTTATCACAAAACATATCGGAAAAGGCTGTTAAAATTTTCAGTTTATGTAAAACTTTTCCCATTACCTAAAATCAGATTTGCTTGCTCCGGCGAAAGTTTCACTTCTGGATTTTGATCTATTGCCTGTAGGCGCTCAGCCATCCGTCTCAATTCCTTTGTGAGGTCTTTTTCAGCGGCCACAGACACAGTCACTTGATTAAAGATTCTCCGCATGAGCTTTGCAGCCTCCTGTTGTGAAACCCGAAATTGGAGCAAGACAAGTATTCTACAAAGGGCAGCAACATATGATTTTTCGGCAGCTGACTTCTTGGCCGGAAAGCTTGCCACCTTAATTATGGGAAATGATTAGTAATCACGCCAAACAAATTTAGCAGCAGAACAGAAATCAAGAAAACATAGAAAATATATCCCCCTTTTTCTTTCATTTTATTATGAGGATGAATATCCTAAAGCCCCACATGGTTTCAAATAATGCTCAACCCAAAAGAAACAAGAAATACAGGAAAAAAAGATTTGCTATTTTCACCCACGCAAAAGACTAGTAAAACTTAATCTATATCCAGTCATAGAATCAAAATGCAAAAACAGTATTAGTAAAGTTCATTGAGAAAAACTGTAAACAGTAGAACATTGACTAATTCCCAGCATGTAAAAACTTTGTGTCGCAATCTACTTACAGCTAGAAAATGAACCATTATACCTCTACTGCAATGCGTATTGCCAGCCCTTCCTCCCCGCTCTCAAAATCAGTTGAAGGAGCAGCATCAACAACAAGATCCTCCCCTTCAATATTGTCTGGCTTTGTTGATTCTCTCACAATTAAAGGGACTTGCATCATTTGCAGCATAAACCGTGATGCTTGTGCAGCACGCTTACGCATGTTAGACACCATCAGACTAGATCCCGAAGCATTACCATGAATACCAGGCCACAAGGAACGTATAACAGGCACAAAAGCCTTTGATATGCATTTCTGCAATTTCAGGAACAATATTTATCATGTGTTCAACATAGATGAACCCATATAAATACAGGAACTAGAAAACACAGATTAGAGATATAGTATAAAATCAGACCTTATGATTGGCCGAAAGTGATGGATAGTGCTCGAAGAAAACTGACAGGCACTGTTTCAACCTACAGAAGAGAATATTACAAAAACACGTTAGCTATAGATACTAGGCATATACAAGAAAAAGCCCAACCAGTTGACCAAGAAAGCAACCAACCTCTGGAGCTCGTCGTTCTCACTACTGAAGTACAAGCTGACGAGCTTAGCCAGTACCAGGTGATGTGTTGAAACACGTGATCCTGAAAACTTATTGCTCAAAAGAAGGATCTTTGCCAAACCTTCTCCAAGGATGCCTTGAATTGATTGATTATCCTCCATCTCCCCAAAATCACCCCAATCGTGCCCAAGCCCCACAAATAATAGATCGAGAAGCTCGATATCCAAATCCTCGCTTTCGTTGCAAAAATCAAGGGGGGCTAGTGATGTTGTATTGTTACGGAGTTGTGACGAGAGATTACAGTTCATGGCTCTGTCCATTTCATCCAGACCATGCCATATTCCCAGATCAAGTAGCGCCTTTGCAGAGACTATTGCAACCATAGGAGGCGCCTTGATGAAAGAAAGTCTTAGTTGCTTCACTGTAACTTCACTGGGCTTTTTCTCTAACAACCCAAAAAGGCCAAGGCACCTGACAGAAGCCCTCTGGACATCCAAGTTCGAATGCTTTGCCTGCATTACACAAACCACCAAGTAAACTCAATAGTCACTGGGAGAATTGGAAGTGGCTAGAACAGGAGAGGATCACATAAATAGTTAAAAAGCTGCAAACAACCAAGCATTCACGTACACACACTAAAAAAAGTAAGAAATGAAGAAAAGAGGGGGGAAGAGAGAGAGAGAGAGAAGCATACCCCTGGAAGCAAGAGAGAATGAAGAATTTCAACAGGGTCAATAGCCCTTCCTTGCATTTCACGAAATGAAGTCGTGTTCTGCAAAATAAGGGCAACCACAGCAAGACAGTGCAGCCATTGCTTGCAGTCCGCCGTTCTATCCCTGCAAGGCCGAGCGAGCTCTTCCACCACTCTAAGAACAACTTCTTCAAACTCGCCAGTAGCCGCATGGACTTTCTTTGCCAACTCTGCTACAGCAGCAGCCCAATCTCTCTCTCCTCCTAAATTGAAGCCATCTCCAATGACTACTTCAGTGCCATTATCGTCTATTTCATGATCAAGGGCTTTATACAACAGACTCTGAACAAATTCACCAGCCACCTTTCTATTCGAAGCGTCAGAGAAATCAAGCATAGCACCCAAAAGTAGCAGTTGTCGGGATACAAATCGGTAATTTGACCCTGAAAAATCAGACGTTTCAACGTGTATATAAAAAAAAAAATTAACAGAAGTTTCCATCTACTAAATGGTACCCACCAGCAGCAACGTGAGCATTAACCAATTCAACATATTCAGAAATGGAAGCGGGAAGAATATTGTCGAGAAGGTCATTCTTATTTGAAGCTTCCTCTGCATACACCGCAGATTCAGTGCCCATAGTCATAGCAGCATCAGAACCCTTTTGCTGGTTGAACAGAACAGAAAAACTCAATGGATCAGTAGAAGTGGAAAGATCCTCGTTGTATGAATATGGAGCATTTCAGAAGCACCTGCATTTCCTTTGCTGATTTATTTGATTTGACAATTTGAAGTTTCTTTCCTTGTGAACTTAGTATATTTTTAAGTGATGTCCTGATTTGATTTTGTTACCTATTGAAATGTACAAGTTGGAACCTCTATATAAAGGTAATGTATTTCAGTGTAAAGATAATAAGAACTAAGAGGGGGGGAAAAGAAGAAGGAAAACTCAACATTTCCATTTTGTTCTCTTCTTTTGTTATTCCTATATTTCTGCAGTTTCATCTTCTTCTTAAAACACGATAAGGAGATAATCTAAAATTTCAAAGTCATGTCCCAACATTTTACAGCGCCTGTTGACACGTACTTTTGCTCGAAATCATAACATTTCGCAAAGGAATTTGTTCAAATGTTGGGTTGAATCAATAAAGAACATTTAAAACCCAAGTTCATATTTGCAATAGTTCTCCACAATGAACATAAACTGAAAATGAGTACCAATAACTTATAATGATTGGGACAGTTTGATCATCTAAAGATGCCATAAGATTGGCCATGTCGGCCCAGCCACGTATTCCAATGGCTGCCAGTTGAAGTACGGGAAAACTATAAAAGACAGTTTACATGCACGTATGAGAAACTCTGCATATCACTTCTTGCAACATGTAGAAAAGTAGCTCAGGTGGTGAACAACATGAAATAAGTGTATGCTAACCAGTAAGAAGTTGATTAGCAATTTACTTCAAAAGTTAAAGTGGAACAAAGAAGTACAAATGAAATTCAATGCTTAGAAATTACCACGCAGCAACTGCTTCTGTATGTGAAGTATTTACCTGTGCTTCCATATGCAAGTGCTTACAGACCATTCTCCAAAACAGGGCAATTTCTGCGTCCATTAGCTCAATAGAATGATTGCAGTGTCCTGCTTTTATATGGGAAAAGATATAAGATTACAAGAGATACAAGTTCACCATTAAAAACTATTGGATGCATTCAGGAAGAAGGCCACTACAAAAGCATTATTCAGCAGTTCGCTGTATGATCATGGTGATAATGTTGGCTATTCTTCTGTTAGGTTTTAACCTGTTAACTCATGTCTCAAACTAGCACAAAGACCACAAATAATACGACATAAAACACAATAACCAAGCAAATACGAAAATTCATATAAAGTTAAAAAATGAAATGGAGAATCTTGACACGTAATAAGTGATGTTTTCGTATTCCAATTGCTAAAGAAAAAATGCAATAAGGTGCGTCCAGGAACAAATTTGCTGATATCAAGGAGTGAAGTCAACCTATGATATCAAATATCAACTATATCAGTCGTTAAATTTGGCACAGGCTTCAGTAAAAGTATGTCGTAGAGCTAATGAGGAAAGACATAAGATGCCATTGCTTTTGACTTTTGAGAACAGCGGCATGAAATTTAATTAGCAATTTCTGGTAGATATTACTTAAGATGCTTAGATGTTAAAGATAATGAGATTGCAGTGCAACAAGGAGTTTAATTATTGTGTGAGGTTAAAAAGGATCCTAACAACTAGACAAGAATTTTTGCAAAATATGAAGCAGAAAAAAAGTTTGCACCATAATTATTTTGTGAGGTTAAAAAGGATCCAAAAGTGTATAATAAACATATAATAATGTATACCTTCACTCGAATCACCGTTGGATGTGAAAAAATTTCGAATAGTTTGACCATCATGGAGTTTTAGCAACCCTGCTTTCAACAGTGTAGCCATTACACACTCCCCAACTGATTCATATGTTTCGACATCAAGAAATTTAAGTAGTTCAATAGGGTCTCCATTGCAACATTTCTCAAGCCACTCGTCTTTCATAATTCTCAAGCATTCTTTTTGAACAGCTGTAGAGCGATCAGTTAGACCCCGCTGGAGAATTATTGTTCTGAGCTTGATACTGAAAAAAAACATACAACAAATATCAGATGATCAATATAAAAATGATTGATAAAAATGCTTACGACAATGTAACCTCACTTCACAGTTGAAGAAAAATTTTCGAGTACATGAATGAGATATACCATCAACATGTCACCTGAACTTGGTTTGGAAGGAAGATAAAAAATTTCACCTCTTTATTCGAAGGTAAAACTCATTTAAAAAAGCATCTAAAGCTTTTACTTTAAGAAATATCAGGATCTGAGAGAGATCAAGTTTGAAATGTATCAGAAAATCAATAGAATTAATTCCTTCGTCGAATCTCATATTCTATACAATTAGAACTTAGAAGACAATGCAGCATGGCCAACAGAATGACCTCAAAGAAAACCTCTTCCTGCTTTGACCACAGGGTAATACGAGACAATAGGCAAACTTAAGAACTAGAAATTCCCATGCCCAAATAAGGCACCGTGAACGTTTCAGTAGCAATGACCTGGAATTATATGGTCCGTAACAAATTCAAAAATAATTCAAAATCATCCCACATAGTTTTCATTCCCATCCCTAAAGAATTAAATTTTGTTGGTTCCACTAGAAATACACAATTCGGTGCTGGAATAGATAAATTAAGAACATATGATAAAGTGTTCAGGTAGCAGCAGTTTCCAAAATACTCTATGCTTAGGAACAGGCCATTGGCCTTGTGAATCAGATAGCAAAACTAGTTAGGAAGAAAAAAGAAGCAAAAATTAGAGCTAAAAAAGTTCTTGAGAGCAACAAGAAGAACTACGGTCGAAGAGCTGTAAAAGACCAAATCACCTGAGGCTCTGTAGAGGAAATTTACTGGCTAGAACACAGTATGCTGCCTTTCGTACTGACTCATTTACATCCAGAGTAGAATCAATAATTATTGATAAAGTTGCGCTTGACGGAGGCAAAGACATCACAATTATCTTACGAACTTCCTGCAAATTTCCTTTAATCAGAGTTGGGAAACATGCCCTTATGTCTCTTTAAGGCAACAACTTAATAAGGTTTTACCACATGGCTCACCTAATTTACTAAGTTAGTCAATGAGAACAGCAGTTTGCTCAGCGGAAAGAACATAATAAAAATAACACTGAAACAAATCTTGGCTTATATAGGAGTCATTTGGTAATTCTGAGTAATAATCAGCACAAAGAGAAAAATGTGTCTCATGCAGACAAAAAATCAACACGACAAAAAGAGATCCAGAAATGAAACCAGATACATGAAGAACTTACCCCATTCTGCTCCACTTGCAATCTCTCAAGAAACAAATCGAGAATATCATTGTTCTCCGAATCACTGGCAAAGCGTGCAAGAGCCCTGGCTGCAAATGTCCGAATTATAGGAAACTTGTCACCTACGCGTAACATCATGCAATCAATCACCTCATCCCAGAGTCCATTGGTCACTTCTGCATCATCCGGTAACCGCATAATAATCTGGATAGCAACGAATACAGAAATTCAGCTTTTTATCCCTCTTTTGTGCCCACTCTAGGAAAGTGGACTCATAAAATTCGTTGCACAAAAACAAATTTCACTTTTAAAAAAAAGGAATTCATTATTTCACGTGAAAATTAGAATCAGAAACTATTCTCCAACTCCTGAAATTCAAACCATTGAAATTAAAGAACTCTGTTCCTAGCCATACACTAGCTCCTGTTAACAACATAAAGATCCACTTATTCATGATAAAATGTAACCGTATTATACTGAGATATCATTCAATACATTGGGAGAAAAAAGGAACATATTACCAAAAAAAAAGATCCGCCCCCAAATTTATATAAATATATCTCTGAATCCCAATGTTAGCAGATAAAACAAACATGAACATTTCATGAATCTCAATAATCCTGCATATGTTTCTCCGTCTTCCCGTTTCCGGTTATCATTTTGCTCTTTTCCAACTAAAACAAATGTACAAATTACATTTCACCAATATTTATCCCATAAAATTTTCAAACTGCCAAAACATGCATATTATTGAACAGATCGAGAAATTTTACAACCCACCTCAGAAACGATCTGGCAGGCCCTAAACCTCGCAGTTTTGTCCGCAGCACCAGCAGCGACGAGAAGAAACTTGAGGAAATTCTCGAGGAATTCATCACTACTAGTGCCATCTGCGCCGCGCGAGCAGGCAAACACGGATGCGAATTTTATGATGCGCTCGGCTGCAGACGTACGGCGCTGGAAGTTGAAAAGCGGCGTTAGGGCTTTGCAGAACGCCGCGCAGAATTCCGTGGGAGGCAAGGAAGAGCGGAGGGCGGCGAGTTCCTTGAGCTTCCGGTTGTGGGTGGCGTGCGAAGTTCGGACGTCGTCGAAAATCCGAGCGATTTTGAGCAACAATTTCCGGTGTTCTTCCGGCTCCTCCATCGGCATCGGCATTTTTCCAGCAGAATTTCTCTTTCTTCTTTTTTCAAATGGTTTTTGGATGAGCTTGAAGCGGGAAAGTGGTTTTTTCTTAGGCGTTCTTCCTGAAGTGGACCTAGCTAATTAATTGGGCCAAGTTAATCTATATTTTATTTGGGCTAAATAGTATCATTATCGGAAGGGAATAATGACACTGCATGTAGTCATTCAATATTTTCACTTCTATCATCTGATATTACTTTGTTATCTTTTTCAAAATTTATATATGTTACAAGAGCTTGATGGATAATAACTTTGATTCTATAATTAAATAGGTTAACTTAAATATAGTAAAAATTACTTTAATATTTATAAAAAATAAAAATTAAATTATACCTACCTGTTGTAAATCGTGCAATCTGATTAATAAAACGACTTTCTATATAAATAAAGTATAATCAATTCTGAAAATTATCTTGTGAGGATCCACAGTAAAAATCGATTCTTCATATTAATTACGAATTACCACAAAATTTTATTCTTTTAGTAATCAACCATACAACATGTCTTAAAAAATGTCTATCAAATATATTTTGTTTTTAGAAAACATTATTTGAATATTCACGATAAGATTGAAAATATAATTACAAAATAAAAATTTGAAATCAATAATAGAAAGTTTATTATGATATTTAACAAAATGTTACAATTGAATCTTATTTATTAATATTAATAACAAATCACGGTGATTTGTTATTCATATGGTAATCAATCATATATCAATATATTTTTAGCGTATCTTCAAGAAAATCATTTAATCGAGAGGATTAGTTTATAATCATTTGATTTATCAATAACTCAATCGTTCCAGTTTTTCAAAAATTATAAACCTAATTTTTCAAAATATCAAAATAAATTAAATATTTAACTAATTTTCTTTTCTATCCTTACTAACAAATCATGTGTTCTCCTGTTTTGCTAGATATCCAACCATATGTAAACCGAAATATGGGTGAGAACATTGCAAAATGTAAGTACAATATATTTAGAAATCAATTGTAAAAATCTTATTGATATAACTACCACAATAGTATAGTAGAATTGATATCTCAATATTAATAACAAATCCCTATGATTTTTTTATTCATTTCGTAACGAGCCATATACAAAAAATCATATATTCAAGGAGTCTTTAATTTTATCACTAACTGCACTAAACCAATTTTTTTAAAATTCATATTGTAATTCTCAATATTATAAGAAATCTCAATTTGTTATCATAACAAATCCATATTGCAACTACCACAATATAAATAACAATTCATATTGCCCCCGCTCGGCCTCACTCATCGGCCCAACGGGTGGTGGTTGGGCTGGATTTGGAAGTGGCTGCGCTGGAACCACCTCTCCTTGAGTCGCTCGAGCCTTCTGCACCTAATTCGAGCTCGCAATGGCAATAGGGACCACCGATGAACTCTCTAAGCTTGTAGGACGAGGCATTGGGGTCATCGGCATTTTAGAAGGTCCCGAGAAACCCGGCGGCGGGCCTGCTTTGAACGGATGCGTGTTCGACCCCACGTTTTCAAAATTCTACTCCAAGTTTTTTCTGAGAATCTCGCCTGCCATGGCTATGGTGTTTCACGGCTTTTTGAACAAACGTCCCACAGACGGTGCCAAATGGTACGTCAAAGACCTCTGATCAGCTGAAAAGGCTAGATCTCAAGCTCCTGGCCGTTTGAACGCCTTTAGACCTACAGAACTCTCACACCAGAGGAGTTTTTCGGTGAAGAGCCTCTGATGCTTAAGTTAGCATTTGTAGAAGATGAAGTGCAATATGTAAATGTATGTTGAAAGTATAATGTGATAATGGGCATACCTTACTCTCTTATATAGAGAGATGGTACCTTATTGCCCAGGACTGCCTAATTAGGTTGCCCGAACTGCCCGAGTTGCTCAATAGTATAGTTCAAATTGCCCGATATGCCCGAACTGCCCAACTTTAGGCCAAGTGGCCCTATCCACATACGACTCTTAGCCCCTTAAAATTTCTTCTTATCCCTTATTCCTTTCTATTAGACTGTCTAATAGTGCGACCAACCCGAGGTCTACCAAGTGAACTTTGTCTGTTTTGAGACCAAGTGTTGTCTTTTCTACCAGGGTCTAATATCTGGTTATGCATTTTTCATTGGTTTTTCCCTAATTACATGGAAATCTGAAAAATAAGTCACTAGTAGTAGGTCTTCTGTCGAGACTGAATATAGAGCTAAGGCCTCAGCCACATGTGAAGTTCAATGGCTTCTTTAGTTATTTCATGATTGATGCATTTCTCTCACGTCTCTTGTTGTTTTATTTTTAGATAGCAAATCTGCAGCTGCAATAGCTAAAACCTTTTGTATTATGAAAGAACCAAACACATAGAGATTGATTGTCATCTAGTTAGAGAAAAGTTGCCAAAGGCATATTTAACCTTCAGCATGTATCCTCCCAAAACCAAGTGACTGACATCTTCACCAGAGCACTGGGAGTACAAACATTTCAGAACAACATTAGCATGATGAACATTATCAATATACATGCTCCTCTCGAGGGGCATTAGAATATATAGATTACATTTTAAGTTTTAAGTAAAGTTGTCATTTGTAGAAACACACTTTTATCTTTTTGTATTGTAATTGACCATCACAATGGTCAAAGTATAAAAGGATAAAAACCTAAGGGCGTGTTTGTATACAAATATATCCGCTCAAAATGAGTTTTCTAGTTTAATCATAGTTAATTTTGAAAAAAAAATGGTATTGTTAGTTGTTAGTGGGATTTTGATTTTATATTAAAATAATATTTAAAATATAATAATTTAAGTTGATTTGATGTAAAATAGGAGAGAGATGATGTGAAAAGATAGTTAAAATTATATGAGTGAATGAATAGTAAACTAAAGTTGATATGATGTATAAAAATTGTTGGTTGTTATTATTTAATTATATTAGTAATATAAAAAATATTAAACTTTAGTTAAATGCGAATTAAATTTTTGGAGTAAGAAGTGAGTATGAATTGAATCTTTTTCATATAAAATAATATGAATTGATTCTTCGATACAAGATATTTCCTTTTCTCTCGTGTTCTTCTAGTCCTTTGTCCAACGTTGTTGACACAGTCTAGTTGCTTTAATTTTGGGCTAAGTTGACAAAATTATATATGCAGCATGACACACTACTATTTGACATATACAGATGACTTGTGCTGCTGTGAGTATAATTCTAGACTCTACAAATTTATTGCCTATTCAAATATTTCTGCGTTGACTTGTGGTTTAAATAATGTCAATATTCTAGATCTGCAGCATATAAAAATTCATGCAACATGAATATTCTTCAAGAATTTTTAATCCAAGTGAAATGTCCATTATGCATGTCCTTGTAAGTGTGATATTGTGAGATGGATGGGATTTAAACAAATATTTTGTTGAAATATG